TAATTTTGTCGCGAAGTCGTGGAAAGTGGAGAATACCTTGAATTGGGTGTACACTTTTCATTCTCTTCACCACAAAAGAAAGAGCAATGCCAGTGGATGGGGATCCAAAGATGGTGTTAGAGAACCCTTGTTGGTCGGGCAGATGCAAGTTTCCTGTTATTTATGTACAGACATTAAAAAAGCTGGAGATTGTGACAACTCAATGGTGACAGAGTTTGTCTTGTATGATACGGCCCATTCAAGAAAGCAAGTTTCTCCTCAAGATAGTTGTTGTTCTTCCCCTGATGTCACTAATACACCAAAGGCGTCCAATGAAAATTCATCTAGAGCCGAAGAGGTACCTGAAAAAACAAAGCTCAAACTTCAACCGAACCATACTCATGACAGAGGTCTTTTTGACTCATCAATTCCTTACCCTTTAGGAATAGCACAACTGCAGTCACGGGTTGAGGTTGCAGCAATTGCTATAGAGGTACCGTATGAAAAGAGAGAGAGTTTAAAATTTAGGAGTGGAGATGCAAAGGATGATGATCAGCCACTTCCAAACTTACTGGATCTCTCTCCGCTTGAGCCAAGAATTGGAACTTCTGATGCCAAGGTGAATGTTGTGATCCCTTCCGGACACCATGGTCTTCCAACAACTGAAGGTCCTGGCCCTTCCCCCTTGTTGGATAGATGGAGGATGGGCGGAGGTTGCGACTGTGGTGGCTGGGACATGGCATGTCCGCTTCACATATTTGGCAATCCAAATATTCATATTGGTGACAACCGTCCTCTGCTTGAGAGTCACCGGCCATTGGAACTCTTCCTTCAGGTAATCTTCTTACCTGCTGCTTAATTGTATGTTTCGTTGGCAGCTTAAATGGAAATTTATTTGTATGTGTACAAGCATTCAAATAAAAGATTTCGACTTCACAAGTACTTTCATCTTTTATGGATATATGCGTCTCTTACTCTCTTGTACTTTCTCTAGAATTGAAACAGCATTAACTCATAAACTTGTTTTTAGAAAGCAAATCAAAGTGGTTACGAGACAAAGTGATGTTACCTAACTATACTCACTAGACGAATTTTAAGATACTATGCCCAATTGTTCTTATCTTACCCCTGGGTTCTAAACTGCACACAGGGAAGAAAGGATAATGCTCCAGCATTGACGATGACGCTTAAGGAGGATGGACAGTATTCAGTTGATTTCCATGCTCAGTTATCTGCATTACAGGCATTCTCTATTTGTGTTGCAATTTTGCATTCCATGGAAACTTCAATTGCCGTGGGACAGGAGAACAACGTGGAATCTTTGCAATCCAACATATTGAGGGTATTTGTGCAAGATGACATTAAAGGCTTGCTTAATGCAGTTAGAGAGGAAAAGAAACAGAAAGTACACAAGAAAGTTGAGCAAGTATTCCCATCTTTTGTACTAAATCCACCATTCTCTCCAATTGGTCGAGTATAGGCTTGAACGACTCACTCAGCTAAGCATTGCGTTTTCTACTTCGTTCCACGTGGGGTATGTCGAGTTTGATAGCAAAAACTGGCTGCTCTATGAACTCGAGATCATTTAAATGCAACTTTTGTGCATGAAATTTTGAGAGGAACCAAGATGATGAATGGTGCACACACGCGGCAGTATGCTCGAGCTTGTCAAAATATGATTTCAGCAGGATGAAGTTCTCATCATATTGTCTTCTGGTGATATCCATGTTTTTTTTTCCTTCTGAAATAGGGGGCCAAAATCTTAGAGATGCCACAACACACTGTTTATATTGTTAGTTGATAGGGAGGGCATAGGAATCTCATTCATTTTTTTCAACTATAGAAAAATTTCAAATATAAACTTTAGCCTACTTGTAATTTATTTATTATGATGGCCAAGGGTGCTGAAGGAAAGAAAGTCACAAGGGAAATTTTGGAAACTCTTTGTAGTATGAGCTAGTAGTACACTTTTGCTTGAGCATTTTATGTAAGTACACCATTTTGGAAAATAAGTAGCTCTTCTGCCACTTAATGCAGCAGCATCTGTGAGAATACTTTGAACTTGTATATCACAATTTGATCTTTTGATTATTGTCACCATCTACTTGCTGCTACTGCTTTATTTTCATCTTTCCTTGTGCCGATGGTTTCTTGAAAACAACCTCTGCATTCACGGTAGGGGTACCCCACTTGTGGAATTATAATGGGTTTTTTGTTGTTGATTGTTGTCTCCATATTCATTACTAATTCATTGTTTAAGCAGTTGTTATGAGTTGGTTTGGACTTAAAGCAATTGCATAGTTTTTACTTTTTAATAATCAAAAGTTTTAGCTTTTTTCAGAAAATACACATGATGGATTGGCCAGTATGAAGCCAAAAAATTATTTTCTTGAAAAAGGATATTGATTTTCTTTCTGTTGTTGGGAAGGAATACATTATCCTTACATTAATTTTCCAAGAGAGATTGTTCTTTCTTGTTATTGTTATTTTTGTAAGAGAAATCATTGGAGTACAAATTTTGGAGTAATTTTTTTTTCTTCCTTTTTGGTTTTCCGGTTCTTTTAAAAAAAGTTTCATTTGACTTGGAAAAATATCTGGCCTCTCTACAACAACAACAACAACAACAACCCAGTAAAATCCCACACAGTAGGGTTTGGGGAGAGTAGAATGTATGCAGACCTTACCACTATCCCGGAGGGGATAGAGAGGCTCTTTCAGGGAGACCCTCGGCTCAGAGACAATAGATCTGTGACAACAAAACCCGAAAAATAATATCAGCAACGTGAGAGACAACAAATAAACGGAAAAGCAGTAACACAAATATTATGCAAAAGTGTGAAACACAACATAAATCGCTAGCAGGGCTAGACAAAACACTATCATACTCGTCGGTACAAAGAGGGAAACCGGGACAAAGGGAAAAACCGCTCGACTACCCCTTAACCTACAACCCTAATGCTCGACCTCCACACCTTCCTATCAAGAGCTATGTCCTCGGAAATCTGGAGCCGCGTCATGTCCTGTCTGATCACCTCGGCCCAATACTTCTTAGGCCGCCCTCTACCTCTTCTCGTACCTGCCAAAGCCAACCGCTCACACCTCCTAGGCTTCTCCTCTGTACGTGTCCGAACCATCTAAGCACGCGCTTCCCGCATCTTGTTGTCCACCGGAGCCACGCCCACCCTCTCCCGAATATCTTCATTCCTAATCTTATCCAGCCTAGTGTGCCCACACATCCATCTCAACATCCTCATTTCTGCTACTTTCATTTTCTGGATATGTGAGTTCTTGACTGGCCAACACTGAACTCCATACAACATGGCCGGTCTAACCACCGCTCTATAGAACTGACCTCTATCTATCCAAATAAAGGGCTGCCCTTCTATCTATCCTATAATATAATATTGTACTAAGTTATATCCTACATATAACATATTGTTCTTAAGGGCTGTGTTCACTATAGATTTTTTTTTAGCTTTTTTCATGGAACAAAATTATATTATGTTTACTTCCAATATGAGATTAGGACAATAAAAAAGAAAAAAAGAAAATTAAAGAAACCTTATGTGATCATTTTTGAACCTCATAAATGTTCCAACCAGGTTACAATTCAGCCATGCTGATTCCTACTAAGAAAACAGAAAGCTGAAGGAAGTTTGTGTGTTATTCTTTTCCAGCCTTCTCCTGGATTAACACATAGACCCCGAAATAAGAAGGTGAAAATAAAAGCAAAATAGGAAAAAGAAAAGAAATTTAAAAATATAGACGCCGTTGCCGGGGATCGAACCCGGTCACCGGCGTGACAGACAGGAATACTCACCACTATACTACAACGACCTTGTTGACTACCTCATCTTCCTTATTATATTTAGTAGGCATGTTATACAAGCAAGCATTAAACACAGGGGTGAAGCTACAAATTTACTCAAGGGTATTCAAATTTGAAAGAAGGGGAAAAATATCCCGACAAAGGATGTTCAATAAGTGTTATATACTTCTAAAATGTAATATTTTATCTATATACACAATGCAATTTTTCGACGAAGGGTGATCAACTGACCACCCTTGTAACCATGTGGCTTCGCTACTGATCGAAGAGTCCGAGCAACATAGGTTGGAGCCATCGAATGAAACATCCAACAACAATTAGAGTTCGAGCGACATAGGATGAGACCATTGGATGAAACATCCGACGACTTGTCCGAGCAACATAGGTTGAGACCATTCGATGAAACGTTCGACAATATTTTTTTAGAGTCATAGCAACATAAACATATAACAGTTAGTTAGTGATGGAGGGAAGCGACACAAATGGTATCTTCTCTAAATTCTGATGAAAAGGAACGAGAGGGTGGCTAAATTTTTATAGACTTCGATTAGTTCATATGATAATAAGTTATTGATATGGGATTTGGAGGTTATATAAATTTACATGGACAAATATAAAGATTAAAATGGATATTAGTTGATTCTAACAAAGAATAAATATTATATATATTTCAAATTATTTAACTATAATGTATGTAAATATAGAGTGCACATAGCTCTTTCAATAAACGAGCTAGAGCTCAAGAACAATGAAAGGAAATCGTAATAATCCATAGACTTTACTCTCTTTACGTTCCTCTTCTATCCCGACTCCCGTAAAATGAAAAAAAAAAAAAAAAAAAGACGCCGTTGCCGGGGATCGAACCCGGGTCACCCGCGTGACAGGCGGGAATACTTACCACTATACTACAACGACATTGTTGATTAGGGATCTTAACTAATATTATATAGTTGTTTAATGTTTTGACTAATAATTGCGCCTAATAAGGCAAAAGCACCCTCCATTTTAAAAATTTGTGAAAAAATGAAAACAAATAAAAGAAAAATTATTCACTCGCTTACAGTTTTTCTTTTTGTTTGAGCAAACTCCTTCGATTACCTTGAGCCAATATTAATTCCATAGGCTTCCGTTGTGTTTGCTGGAAGTATTTTTCGTAATTGCATTTTCATCCATATTTATGCAAATCAACAGCTACACCAGAAAAAATTACTTTGTTGCAAACTCACTGGAAAACTAAAATTTCATACATACAATCAACTAATCGAGTTGTGGAAACAGCCACTTGCAGAAATGCAAGGTAAGACTGCACAATAGACCCTTGTGGTCCGGCCCTTCCCCGAACCCCGCGCATAACGGGAGCTTAGTGCACCGGACTGCCCTTTACAATCAATTAATTAATCAACCGCGCCTCAATCCCAGATCAATCGGGTTCGCCTATATTAAAATTACATCATACAAATTAGGGATCCCTATATCCTCTCAATTTCCCCTATCATTTTCTAAAACTTTACAAAAATGCTTCACATGTTCTTTCCGATAACCAAGAAATCCCCGAGGGCTAGCTGGCACATGCTTTGAAACTCAGTGGATGATCAACTAGCTCGTTTCTATGAAGCGTTAAGAGAACCAGTCGGTGGTTAACACTTCAAGTTCCTTCATCCTCTATTTGGACCTCGAGCTCAGAGAGAAAATATACAGGCTAATCTTGACATTATATATTTCTCTCATTTGGCACATTGCTGAAAGATACACTACCTTGAACTGATCTTTCTTGTGTTAGTTTGGTGACGGTAATGACGCAGAATCATCTTCTAAACTTTGCTCGTATGTAACTCTTTCGGCTTTAGGCTGCGGGATCTCCAAAGAAAATAATCTCTTGAAAGATTCATAAGATGCAAAGAAAAGTGCTCCCTGTGTCATATACATGACTAATCTAGGACTCAAGCCCCTGCCATAATATCAAGATTCATCACTACTAAAACCAAATAAAATGGCTAACTACATATTGACAACATGCGCTATGCTTTTAGAACCATGTGCGTTATTCATTGAGAAGAATTCATGATATAGCAGAGACAATTAAGTTATTACTTCTTCTACGTCCAACAAAGTTAAGCTTGGTAGAATAGTTTGCTATGGCATAATTATATCCTTCGCGGCTTCGCCTTTCCTAACTCGTGAGCAGTATTAGCTTCAAATGTATATTGAAATATGCTATTAGGTTAAGTTGCTGGTTTCAGTTTGACGTAGAAAACGTACATATGATGAGTGCAAGATGGAAGTTTAGTTGATTTTATCCAAGTAAATGTTTCCAATACTGTTGATACAGCAATTTGACTTTAATCAAACAATGCTGTCGAGTAACAAAGTTTTCAGCGATAAGTGATGTTAACACAGGAATTATAGGCCTCAAAACTAGAGGGATAAGTCATGTCAGTGATGAAATATACACAAGCCTTCCTTTCCTAGTTCTAATAACTAATTCTGTGTAGGACAATCATCATCATGTCGTTGTTTCTAAATATCTGGCTTAAAAAAAATCTTCACATATTAAACATAGTGAATGATGAAAAATGACCAAGATAACCGTCCTGTGAGTCCTGCATCAGATTCTCATTGTCTTTACTTTAAAGAAATATTTGGGGTGAGGTGCCAAATGTTTGACGCAAGATTGACAAGATTATAATCAGATGGTAATATTCAATTAAATTACTTCAATATGATATTCAACCATTACCTGTAAAGACCCTTCAAACCTTCACGCTTTCCTATTTCTTTAAGTGTGTCAAATACACCCAACTGAATCCTAGATCCAGGAATCTGCATAACCGAGACTTTCTTAGGAGCTTTATAAATCAGCTGCTCATATAGTGTAAAGGGGAAGATGGGAAATATAGCAACTGAATGATTTCCAAAGGCTTAAACTGATACCAGTCTTAAATCAGTTGTTCAAACTAGCAATCAGATAGATAGTACAAAGGGACAAGAAATAGAGCAACTGAATGCTTTCAGAAGGCTTAAACTGATCCCGGTTTCCAGCAGCAATTATATGACATATTGATATCTGTGCAAGACTCACAACTTGAGCGAGTAAGAAAGGAAAGACAGAATGAATAACCTGTGTCTGTAATCTTGTCTTGACGACATCAAAAGGAGTTGTGAATAGTGCAGCAGTAGATCCAGCTAATCCGCCACATACGAGCTGGAAAGAGGAGTATAGAACTGAGAAAAATCTTATTTTTTAAACCAGAAAATGAAACCAAGAACACTAAGCTCCCATTGCCTCAACTACGAACGTTAAAGATTAAAATGTTAACCTCGACCATCATTCCTTAAAGCCAAGAGTAGAAGTGAAAATGCAAGTGCCAGAAAATATATATCAGGAGCCTAATAATGGCCAAAGATGGAGGTGGACAAAGGACTACTCATTAATAAGAAAACTAACCGTCATTAGTGTGTCATTTTGGTTGCGCAGCTGAACAGATGACAACCTCAACTCCTTCAATCTTTCATATGTGTAGAACTGCCAGTCAAAATAGTACTTTTAAGAGAATATAAGTATAGAATAAAAGAGCACTCAACTTCCTGCTCCCTAATTTTCTCCAAAAAGGCACAGAGACAGATTATTTAAGTAAAAAATTACCTTAATGATTGAGTGTGGAATATTCCTGCACAGTACAGCTCTCCATCCAGCATAGAGTGAAGGCAAACCACCACTTCTTATAATCTCAACCAAGGCATTCCTGCGGACGCAAAAATGAGAAAGCAGATGCTGTTAGTAGGCAACAGATATATACTTAAACAAGGATAAGAAGCACTCAAGGCTATGAACAATTCTCATATCATGAGTAAACTGTGGTAAAAAGAATCAGACAGATACAAAAGCTGGTGGAATCAGATAATGGGATGACTAACGTATTTCAGGAACACAACTTACCAGCAGTTCTTATAGCGGGAACCAACTTGCATCTGTTGCTTTATACACTCACTTGGAGTGAATACAAATGAAGTGGCAATGCTTGCGCAACCCCCTGCGAAGCAGTGTGCAAAAGAGTGATATTCCTGTGATACAGAAAACATGTACCATTTAGGAATGCACCAATTTCCTTGAAAAAAGAAGCATTCCAGTGGAAAATACAACTATGGCTACCACAGACCATAGACCAGTTTCTCCTTTCAACTTTACTAATTTATATAAATCAAAAAACTCAGGTGGCCTAAAAGACTGCTTTCATTTTTTCCCCTATTCATTTCTCGGCTTGTTAGGGTGGTGCGGACAGCATCTGAGGGAAGTTTAACATAAAAAGGAAAAGAAGAAAAGATAAGCATTCACCTTAGGAAAAAGAGGAAGCAAGGCCCCTTTCACTGATTCATATGTAAAGGTGTAAAGTGCAGATATTGGTGCAGACGAAGCAAGATTGGTAGAAAGTCCCCGATAAAGTGCAGTTACTCCTGAGATAAGTTGACAACAATTTCAAAGGTCTAAAGATAGGCTCAAAGAAAGATAAGAATCTCTTTGCATGTAAAAGAATAATAATATTGGTAAGTAAAGTGTGGCTTCAAATAAATATACCTCTTTCGGAAATAAATGATCTGCCTATATAATAAAGAGGTTTCTGATCGCCGCGACATGACTGAACAACAGTCTTAATTGTGTCAATTGGATGAAGACAAAGGCTGACAAAAATTCCAGCCATTGCTCCTGCAAAAGCATGCTCTTGTTTTGCAAGTGTATAACAAGGCTTGTCCTTTGCCACGGAGATCTGTACTTCAGAATTCAGCTCATCCTCCAGTTCAACTTTTTCAGTAGTTGTCGAATCATTCATGTGATCCTCAGCATTAATTTTGCTGTCAACACTAGCAGAACAACTTGGAGGAAGAGAGTACTCATGGACGACTGACCTATCTTTAGAACATGGAATCTCTAGCATGTTTGAATTTTTGTCATGTGAAACCTCATTATAGCGCCTTAGACATGAAGTACTAGTTGGTACCCTGTCGATCTCGTGATCCTTTGCAATCTGACCTAAAAATGAACCAGCCGGTTTTTCCCTGTCAGTCTGGCAATCAGCATTTACTATATCCGCAGTGGCGCTGCAACTTAAAGGACTCTTTGTCGTTTCTTCTTCGGTACACTTTCTGCTTTCATGCCTTCCAGTATTAGCACAATTTAACTGATGCTTAAGTTTCAGTAAGGATATTTCATGCATCCAATCATACACAGTATGTAAATCATCGGCAAGATTTTTTGCTTTCCAAGTTTCCTGATGAATGATAGATCCACCACGGAGTAGACTCCACAGAGGAGAATTTCCTAAGAGAGGACCAAAGAATGAGACTTTTTGGTTTGCTGTCAGACATTCCACATTCGCAAGCGCCAGAGGTGAAGAATCGATATCACTATCTACATTGACAGGGATTGGGTGATCATAAGTTGAAAAACAAGTACCAGAAGTTTCACCCGCGGTGGAATAACCATATATGTTGTTTTCTCGGTGATCAGTGTTGTTGCGTCTAGAACTTGTTTTGGATAGGATTCGTGTAAGAGGACGGGCCGTACAATCCCATAAACTGCCAACCGCTGATATAAGCTCACTTGTGCTCATTATCTCAGAAGACGACTCAGAAATTTTAGGGTTCTCCTTCTTATTTTCAGATGAAAGAGCATGACTTTCTTGGTCAAAATCAGCAAGTTCAAACAGTGCCCCCTCAAGTAGATTACGCCTGTATTTGACTGAAGGTTTGTCACTTTGGCATGGTTGACTTCCCCCAGCCATTTTATCAAAATTATATAAAATCTTTTGATAAAATTTTACTAGGTACGGGTAAGGTCTGCATACACACTACCCTCCCCAGACCTACTTGTGGGATTATACTGGGTATGTTGTTGTTGATTTAAAATCTCCTTCAAAAGAGAACGCTAGAAGATTGCCAACTGCAAGTAGTTGAATTAGTATTATCATATGTCAAAATAACTAAGTACAAAGAAATGAAATAAAGCACAAAAAGTATGGAAACGAAGTCAAATCCAGAAAGCTCAGCTAAGCGTTGATGTTTCTGTACATTTTTGTACTTTTCCTCTCCAAAAACACACATTACCTAGGATATTTTTACACAATTAGACTAGTTTTTATATTTTAAGTTCATAATTGGAATCTGAACTGAATAAAAGATTTTCTTTTTCCTGAGAACTGAGCATAAGATTGAGGTATCCACCTTGACATTGAATGAAATTCGAATATCAAATTGCTCATTAGCTATGCAGTGTGTTTGCTGTTATGTGTTATATACAGCATATGTTCAGTTCGTCACAAGAGATGCACATCAAAGCTCTAGAATAATAGTTACTAGTAGTACATAAGCATATTAACTTTCAAAATAATTCTAATCCAGTCAAGTGTGTGCTATCTAAGTTGACTATGTTAAATCCTGAGTAAAGCTTTGTTTGCCTAGTAGCACTCTAAGTGGAAGTCGATGTTACAGTTTAGTTAATCTTGCTCTTTACACCATAAAATTTATCTTTTCCAAACTTATCAAAAAAGAAAAATTCTCTTTTCCTAAGCAGAATTTCCAAATTTAACACTTAGCAAGTTACGAAAACAATATAGAGAGAAAAAGGGGTTAAAAGTGCTCCAAGTGTTCTCAAATGATTCTTATAATCCCCGCATTCCATATCTCTATGACTGCACAAAGCTAATAGATAAAGAATAAAACATTCTTAACCAAATTCTTTCAAAATGCTTGTACAACAGAAAGCAAAAGACGTACCTTTACATGTCAAAGCTTCCTCCCTCTTACTAACCCCAATCCTATTAGCTCCACCGAACACAGCCAATCGAGAAGCAACACATTATCCCTGAAAACAAAATCAATTACAAATTTCAAAATCAAGATTTACAGGGAAAATTAAAAAAGACAAAATCTCTAAAAACTATACCAAAACAAAATTTCCCATTTTGAAACTATATTACTCAAACTACAAAAACATCCATAAATACTAAAAAGCCAAATCTTTTTGCTAAAAACCAACTTCAAATTGCCCATTTCAATGCTTCTCTTCTTGCTGTGCTCAGTTCCTCAGCAACAAACTAGGAGCAGTACACATAAAAAATACAAAATATACTTCTCAAACTACAACAAATATTCATAAAAATCAAAACTCTATCCTTAAACCAACTTCAAATTGCCCATTCTTGAATCTCTTTATTACCCACAAATAACAACAAAGACTTCAATGTTTCTCTTCTTCCTGTCTCTCAGTTTCTCAGCAACCAAACTATGAGTTATATAATACATAAAAACAGAAAGGTAAGAATACCTGAGTGAAATTGACTGTTCTACAGCTGAAAACAATGTTCCAAGAATGTTGTGAATCATTTTTCACCAGAGAAATTGGATGGAAATTTCCTGTTGCAGAAAAAGTGAGCTAGGGTTTAAGATAATGGGGTTTATGAAAAGACAATATTTTGAGAGGCTAGAGACCAATTCAAACTTGGGATACATCTTCTGCAATAGTCCTATAATTGTGAAATCATGAGACCTTCCAAAGGGTCATCTTGTTTTCTTATAATGGAGAAAATTTTGTGCAGTATAGGTTGTACCTTTGGGGCTTGTACCATATAAAATTGGGTTCGCATGGTTTTAGGGCTATCGCATTTTCTTTTGGCTTGTCATTCCCTTTGTATATATGTTATCTTATATCAATAAAAATACATTTTCACTAAAGTTTAGTACATCGGTCTACCCTTTTATTCACTAAAGTTTATTTGTGTGAAGGGAAGCCTTGGCGTAACTGGTAAAGTTGTTGTCATGTGATCAGGAGGTTACAGGTTCGACTTTCGAGCCGTAGAAACAGCCTCCTGCAGACAATGGAACCTAATGGTCTGGCCCTTCCCGGACCCCGCGCATAGCAGGAGTTTAGTGTACCGAGCTGCCCTTATATTCACTAAAGTTTAGACGGATAGGAAAAAATTACCTACATTTTTATTTCTACTGGATTTGACTAGTTATATTATCTATTATGTCACCATAGATTTTGCATAGCTATGTTGTGTATTCTCTATTAAGATATCACCATTTTATAACTTTAGAAATTGAAAATTTGAAACTAATGTCGTTTTAAAAAGATGAGCATAATTTAGATTTTTTTTGTTATTTCTGTTTTTGTTTTTGGTGGCACGAAGATAGGAACTAGAATTGGAGAATGGAGAAAAATCAAAACAAAGACAAAGTGAAGACCCTTCAAGATGTATGAGTTTGAACCACTTACGCACACGGTGAAGTTACAATTACTTGGTATCTTGACTTGTCATTACTTAACGGTACAAAGTTTATCAATTAATTTTTCTTCTAAATTTAGTTGGTAAAATAAAAAAGTCAATTATATATATTTGTGAATTGGAAATTATAGGCGGGCAAATGAATCAGAATTGATGTTGTTTCCCAAAATTTAGAACAGATTCGATTTTACTGTTCTTGAAGAAGATAAAATATAGTTTTATTTATCTGAATAACATAAAAACTACATATGTCTGAGCCCGGGTTCGAACCGGGGACCTCTAGTGTGTGAGACTAGCGTGATAACCAACTACACCACCCAGACTTGTCTGCTAACTTTGGTTATCTATATTATTCATTATTTCATTTACAAAATTATTAACTTGTAATTTTATAGTGACTTTAAAAATGGGTACGTTATTTTAGGGTAGACAAGGATTTTTAAGTAGCCCACATTGATATTACCTTCATGCCATTAAAGGACGTATGTTTTGAGTTGAGGGCTCATTGGACGTTGTTAATCTCAACAAAAATTCTAGACATTAAAAAGGGTTATACGTTTTGCTTGAAACGCTTAACATTAAAAGTTTGATAAACTCACTCGTTGAGCAACCCGCTCATGCGTCCCCTTTACCTTCAAATCCTGAGTTCTCCATATAGTACTACTAATTAATCTCCCAATCAGGATTTTCAACATGCTTATATCAATCCCCCTTCATTATTCTTCAATATCAAAGAGATCTTTTTGTTCTATATCATAATACTTTTTAATTGCAGATTGATTCATCTACATATTTTATATATCTTAATATATATGTCACCCTTCTTACACGACCTGAGATCATATTTTCATTAGTAGTACTAATCTTTTAGTTGACTTCATCTCTCAATGACAATACCTTCTATGAATATTTAAAGTCCCATTCCAAGAATAAATTAGTGAAAGTCTTGGATTGTGAAGCATGATTTCAAGTACTTAATTAATTTAATGTACTAGTGGCAAACGTGGGTGATTTTTTTAAGAGCTAAGAGTGTCCCCAGTGCAAAGAAATAATCAACTCTTCATTTTTGAGCTTCAGAAATGTCAGAAACCTATTTGTTTAATGATCATGAGAAGCATGAACCAATTAATAATTAATCAAAGTCACAAATCCTGGAACACGACAATGTCACCACCAAGCCCATGGCACGTATTGTCCGCTTTGGGCCTAGGCTTACACGGATTTATCTTTTGGGCTACGCCATCTCGAGCCCTAAAAGCATGCGTACCACGTGAGCTTGTGCCATGCCTTGTAAAGCACTTCACCTGCACCCTTACTTGAGAAGTTTGCCAGCCTAAAAACATGTCAGTCCTGCTTGAACCGCCCTCGTCAGTCAGCCCTCCGTCATGGGCATCACAGACAATTGATCATTTAATGGTTACCCTTTACGAGAAAGAGTTTAAATTCTATGCGCTAATCGTGGAAAAGGTATTTACATAATCAGATCACCTGTAAGGTATTACATTATGCAAAATAATTTTTTAGTCGTTATAAATATCATCACTACTAGATTGAATAGGTCAAATCCCTTTCCAAATTCTAATGGCTGATACAATTCCTTTACTCTCACATTCTCCTTCAACCAAGAATTACCAAGATCAAGAACCTCAAAAGCTAAATGATCATTCTTCTCTTGAAGAAATCATAGAGCCATTTTTTGGAAGTTGTGGAATTGAATGGCCACAAATCTTGCAAGTTATTCTTGTTTCACTTGCTTGTTTCTTTGAGGCTCAACAAACATTTATCACTATATTTACTGATGCTATCCCAACATGGCATTGCACACAACTTAATAACACAAGCTGCAATTCCATGTCCAATATATGTCAACTTTCTACCAATGAATGGAAATGGGATAAGCCTATTCACACATCCATTATATCTGAATGGTCACTTCATTGTTCTGATAATCCTATCCTTCAAGGACTTCCTGCTTCATCTTTTTTCATGGGCTGCTTGTTTGGCGGCCTAATACTTGGCCTACTCGGGGACACAGTTGGTCGAAAGACTATGCTATTTTTCGGGTGTTTGATCATGTCTATGGCTTCAATCTTCATTGCTTTCTCTAACAACATTTGGATGTACTCAGCCTTGAGATTTCTAAGTGGCTTTGGCCGTGCAGCGATTGGATCATCTGTTCTGGTTTTGTCTTCTGAGAGTGTTGCTAAACAATATCAAGGCCAAGTGGGAACTATAGGATTCCTTATGTCTACACTTGGATTTGTGTCATTACCAGTTTTGGCTTATTTTAGTAGGAATTACTCATGGAGGGTACTTTATCTTTGGACTTCTCTTCCAACAATAATTTATTGCATGTTACTACAGTTTTGTGTTTATGAATCACCAAGATGGCTACTTTCAAAAGCGAAAAATAGAGAGGCTTTTGCTGTTCTCAAAACATTTGTAGCACCTCATTTCAAGAACCTAAGCTTAAATGATCACAAAGTGAAGATTGACAATGGCTTTAATCAACCATTGATCAAGATTTTGTTGAAGAAAAGATGGATTCTTGGACAGCTATTGCTAGCTGTGGCAACAGGTTTTGGCATTGGATTGATGTACTATGGCATGCCACTAGGACTTGGCAACTTTAGCTTAAATCTCTACTTCAGTACGGGGCTAAACGCGTCGCTAGAGTTACCAGCATTCTTGATAGTCTTTTTCTTGGTAGAGAAATGCAAGAGAAGAAGCACACTACTTGGACTAAGTGTTTTATCTGGTTTTTGTGGCATGTTATGTATGATAGTGGACAAATGGAAAGTGTTACAGCTAGTATTGGAGTTAATTTCCTTCTTTAGTGCTTGTACTGCATTTAACTTGTTGCTGATATACACACCAGAGTTGTTCCCAACTAGCATAAGGAATGCTACTGTGTCAATTGTTTGGCAGGCTATCGTGCTCGGGGGCGTGGTAAGTCCAGTTTTGGTTGATGCAGGAGGATATAGCAACAAGATTTTACCATACTTGGTGCTTGGAATTATGACATCAATTGCAGGATCTTTGGTTATTTTTCTGCCAGAAACAAAGGGGTTGGAGCTTTTTAAGAACATGGAAGAGCAAGAACAAGAGGATTATGGAGCATCCTATGTGATGAATGGCGTGTGAGGGTTGATCTTGCTGTTGTAGTGCCTCCATATATCACTTGTATGTTTTTGACTTAGAATTAAAATGTTAAGCTTATGATATGTCCATAATTTCCTCCTAAAGTTTTATCTTCCTTTTTTTCGCGAAGAAGGTTAATTAATAGTTTAGGATCATATACTTCCTCTCCAAAAGCTGATTAATCAGTTGAATTTAAAACTTTCCATCTTCTATTGCAAGTGTTAACAAGTCGTGTGATGCAGCTAAAAAACCATCCTTTCCAAGAAAATCATAGTAGTAATAAGGATTGAGAGATTGAGCATACACACAAAGCTTTGGGTGGCCTCAAATCTTGCAACTGAAGTTTCTTTCTCTTAAATCTTTTAAGGCACAATAAACATACATGATGCTCAGCAAACTTGGAATAATAATTTTGATTAGCTATAAAGAACTGGTCCATTCATCCACCATTTGAAGGTCTAATGTGCTAGTAGCTCAATCAGCATAGCAGTACCTTCTTCATTTTACTGCATGAACTGCTCGTTTGACGGACACTTTCTCACTCACCTCGGAGATTTGATTAGACACAAGAAGATGTAGTGGTTGCAGTCCTTGTAGCGCCTCTTTTCTTTTTCAACTTTGATCAATATGAATTCACTTGGTACTAGCAGCTTTATCGCAGAATTTCTCACCTTAGTAGGAGCTATCGAGCATTAGTTTCACATCCATGTGGTGCAGTAGTTGCAGTCCCTTTAGACACCTTAAATGAGGAAGCAGAAAAAAAGCTAAAACGGAGAAACAGAATCGATGGTGAAGTAATAAGACTAATTGTGTTTGCATGCATACAGCTACTTCCTATAGACTACACTGTTGATCATTGTCATGTCTTGATATTATGCTTTCAAACTGCTATATAATTTGAGGCAAAAAGGTCAAAATTGTCTCCCTGCAGCTAAAGAAGGAAAATGGATAAAAATGCAGCAAATTAGTGGCAGATGATCTGCTCAGAAAACTCAAAAGCTTGCAACATCAAGATCTAGAAACCAAAATAAGCTATTGCAAAATTATTAACCTGTAGTTTTTATGATGTTCTAAGTGGCCCATATTGATATTACTTGCATAGCATATACTGCTTAATCTTTGAATCTTGATCTTAATTAACAAGTTTATATTAATCCCTTCATTAATTATTCTTCAATATCAAATGAATCATATTTTAAGCTAATCATGCAAATCATACGTAACCACTTGCAGAAGGGGTTGTCTTCTCCCTTGGCCTGATAGATCCTCTTTCTCTTGGCTGTTATATCATTAACAGATCGATTCATCTAATATTAGTATACACACTACTAGAATTCCTGTAAAAAGCGACCAAAGATTAGCGACCAAATTTGGTCTGTCAAGAAAACCGACCAAAGTTGGTCGCCAAACTGCCGAAAATAATAAAAAAAATATTTGAAATACTTTAGCGACCAAAGTTGGTCGCTATTTGGCCGCAAATTTAATCAAACTGTTGACTGGACTGGTCAGACTTGCTTGGTCAAAGATATACTGAGATTGTTGGTCGCTAAAGTGCGACCCACATAAATTTTTTTAATAATTTTTATTATTATTTTATAAAACTTATAAAATATAAATATATATAATTTAAAACTTGCGACCAAAGTTGGTCGCTAACTGAAGGATAAGTTGATGGGACCCAGTTATAATATTTTAATAAATATATATTTATTTAAAATAAATTATAAAATATAAATAAATATAATTCAAAATTTAGCGACCAAAGTTGGTCGCTTAATGAAATAGAGCTACGTTTTGTTTCATG